GATCAGAGTGTTTCTTAATATATATGTAAATGCTTTTTTTTTTTTTTTTGTATATATTTTGATTCACAAATTAAGAACAAGTATTTCATTCTTTGTATATTACCACTGGATATAAGTTAAAAGTTAAGATGAAATTAATGATAAAAGTTAGAATGAAACTAGAGTAAGAAAGCTTTAATTACTTATATACCAACTCCATAAACTAGGAAGCGCTAACTTGCTTTTTTATGTATATACATTCCAGCTGGGGCTATAGAAGAAGAAACTATAGCGCATACCAGCAGTACTGTGAATGAGGTTAGAATTCCTTCTTATTAAGTGTAAGCACATACATATTTTAAATGTAAACTAGATTTTAGAAGTAGAATGTAAAGCATTTTCATTTGATTCTGAACATGAAATCAATTGAACTTGTCTTGATTAAGGAATGCAGTGAAGACCTGGATGAGCTTGATATTTTGTTTGGTTCTGATGTGGCTGAAATTTCAATAAACCTTTTATCCTGGACATATGCATTATTAAAAGATGATGGAAGTCCTATAGGATTCAGTAATCAGATTTCTTTCATTGTTACTGTAGAAACTCATGAAATTTCAGCATCATTGAATCAGTTATAACTGAAAATTGATCTTGTGAATACAAGCATCATCTCTTCTCTCCCCTCCCACCAATGCCCCGCAACACAAATTTAAAATACAATACAGCTGTACAGCTTTTATTGTAAATACCTGTGGAAGCAATGGAATAAATCTGTGTAAGTGCTTTTGCCCAAATGTATTTATTTTGTTCTACCTCAAATAGACACTTGTCTTTCAAAAATTTGCCATGGATTTTAGTTTTACTCTTTCTTGAACAGTGTTGTAAGAGAAAAGGGAAATCTTAAGGTTCATGTGATGAATGCCCTGGCAGAAATCCTGTTTTTGTTGAAATTAGTCTGTGTTTTGTCAGTGACTTTGGTAGAGATAATACATGCAAATTCATGATATGCATATGCCTTATGATATAATGATTAATCTGATAAACATTGCTTCTATGCCCCTATGCCAGAATATCTCTGTCATTGAACTATTTGTCTTTGCATGATAAAAGGAATGCCTGCACCCCAGTTCTTTCATGCTTAATGCAATGAATTGAAAAAAAAGAAACAAATCTCATTTTAAAAACAAGATTGACACTATTTTGATTATGGAAATACAAATATACCTGCAGCGTAGCTCAAGTGCGGACCAAGGATGAGAGTTGGAGAGAAAACCCATCTGCCAAGCCAAGGGGAGACCCCATCATGGCTCCTTGCAGTTATACACAGCTCTGCCCACTGCAGCCTGACTGTAGGCTGTACCACTAGACTGTGTCAGAGGTGGCCTGGAGCCCTGGGATGGGGAAGGAGGAGGTAGAGCTTCTTGCTGCTTGTGGGGCTCAGGAAACTGACTTGATTTCCAAGTGGATGTTTTTAAAAGGCCAGATAACGTGGCTTGGTTTAAGGAGGTTCTGAAGCTGCTGTTCTGTCCATTTGTGCTTAAGTTTGTACATTGAGTAGTTCCATGATGGTTTTAGTCCTTAACTTTTCCATGATATAATATTTTTTCTTTTTGAGCATACATTAAAGTTGAGACTAAATCCACTTGGGAAGCGTTAGTGTCATGCTGCTAAGGTAATTTAAGAGATTACACAATGATTAAAAAAAAATAGGGACAGGATTCACAAAGATTTATGATCATAATTACAGCATTTACATTTTCAGCATAAAGTTACTGAGTCAGATCTGTCATTTCAGTATAGTCACTTAAGTTCCCTGTACAATGCATAGAGAAAATAGGAAATCTCAGAATGAAATCCACAAAATCTGAATGTGGGGTGTGAGCCATCTGAATAGGCAAAGGCAAGACAGATATAAGTGCTGCCCCTTCATTTGCATGTGTTTAAACTCAGGCCTTATGCCGTTATGCCAAGCTACTCAGTTATGAGTTTGTCATAAGTCTCTTTCATTCAGTTCTAGTAGAAATTGTGTTCACACTGGGTGGTAAAGTAAACACCCACTATAGGAGGAAATAAAAGACAGTGCTCCCAACCCAGGAGTTGGCCACATTTTTAGTTTTTCATTTCCTTTCTCTTTCTCTGTAGACCACTGAGCCAGCACTATTTCTACAAGCTGAAGTCACTGAGATTAGAAAATTTGCCTGCATGAGAAAAGGCAAAACCACTTATGCTAGCAACTTGTATTTAGCAGGTTCATTCCAGCAAAATGGAGACTTGCTCTGAGACTTGAATCCACAGATAGAATTTGGCCTTCTGTGTTTGTGTTGTGTAATTCTGCATACACAGGTTTATGACAAAAAAATGAGATATTGATTCAGAACATTAGGATGCTTCAGATCTTTTTCATGATTATTATATTACTCAAAGGAAAAAAAGTTCTTTATTTTGGGTATTTCTGTAACTCTTAGAAAAAGAAAAAAGTGTAGAAATACTTTAGAAATAATGAAACACCTTTAAAAATATGAGTAATTTAAGAGAATTTGCAATGTGTGAGGTTGCATTCTGAAAAGTAAAGGTTATTTATTTATGGATTTTCTACGTGTAAAAATCCAAATAAAGCTAATGTTGAAAATTCAATGAATTAACTGCTGTACACTTATTGATATAGGTTGATGTGGTTATTCTGTCTCTGAGGATAATCAGGAAAGGTTAATTTAAAAGAATAGCTGCTGTTTTCTGAATAGAAGTGTCCTGAGCAGCAGAATAAAAGAATTACTCTGGACTTGGGGAAAAATCACATTTTTATGATTTTATTACTTACATATTTATATGTAAGTATACATTCAACTAGAAAACAGCAGTACAGAAGGTGCTGTAACATTTCCACCATCTGCAAGAGCAAGCCTGGACTATTGTTTTAAGCACATGCTTAGTACGTAGAGGTTATGAAATGCAGTTCTTTCTTACAGTGTGGGCTGTATATAGAGAACTGATCTATCTGTAATTTGTACAGTGCCCACGCTGTGTGTAAGTATGAAAGTCTGCAAAAAAAATGCACCTATAAAGACTGCGAAAACTGCATAAATGATAAATAAGGTCATAGTCATGAACAGTAATATGCAGAGCAATAAGTAAGTTTAGTGGTGGTATTGTGTGTGAAAAATTGAGCTATCAGAAAATGTAATGTGACTAAAAATCACAGTTCTCCTGTTGAGAACATGAGCTCAGTTAACTGATTTTATTTTGCAGTCAGGAGTTGGGACATTTTAGAGTAAAACCTTTTTACAGCTCTATGGATTTTCCTATAATATGATTTTCCTTTCTCAATCAGAACATGAACTAAATTGAAAATTCTGAAATAAGTATTGGGACAAAATTAATTTCCTAATTAGATTTAGCAATTAGAAGCTATAATACTGCTTAGATAGAAGAACTGCAGTGTTTTAAAGTGAGTTTGAAAATATGGAGTCCTTTAGTTCTATTTTTATTGTAATTGACTGAATTCAGGGGCATATTTTCTCATTTTATCTCATGTGATGTAGGTAATGTTGGCAGGAATAGGCCCTTAATGAGAGTCTGTTAAAGATTTATGGGCAACAATAAAACGTGGGTTATTTTTCATAGTTGTACTGACTTTGCATTACTAATTAAAATAAAGATGCAATACCAGCTTATTTTTAGCAGGTAATGAGCAAACATGACTCAGATATAATAAGGGAACAAATCTATTCAGTAAGACTATGGGTGGTCAGCTT